CTGATGCTTAAGAATTTTGCCTACGTGTCAAGCTCTCATCGTGCGCATTCTCCTTTATATAATAAGATAGTGAAATTGGGCTAATAAATGATTTTGGCCGACCTTTTTATTGAGTTTATTATTGATTTTTAGAGAGAATACCTTGTCATATTTTTTACAATCCCATGCATATTAAAATTGGGAGAACGATTTTGGTAAAGACACATAACTTTTTTTTTTAAAATCCCTCTCCAATTAATATATAAGAAATTTTTTTATTGAGTTTAAAGACTAATAATTATTATTGAAATTGGGCTAATAATTAGTTTGGGCTAATTTAAATTAGAGACTAATGGACTAAATTAGAGAGAATGCGATGTCATATTTTTGACAATGCCATGTCACATTAAAATTGGGAGAATAATTTTGGTGAAGACACATAACCTTTTTTCAAAAAATCACTCTCCAATTAATATATATAGGATGTAGAGAATTTTTTTCGAAATGCCACTTTTCAAGAATGTCATCATTTTGAAATTTTCTTTAAAATGCCACTAATCCTCTATATTAATTGAATAGACAGTTGGTGAAAAAATCATATGTATTATTCAATGAGGGTTTTAAGGAATATGTCATTCAAATTAACTAATGAAAATATTTTAATTAAAACTATATGCCATGGTGGAAATCTCTATATATTTTTATTAATTTTATAACATAAACTCATTAATGTAAATTTTACAGAATTAAGTTTAACTAAATGTAATATTTAGACTTACTATATCATCTATATATATTTTTTAAATAATATATTAAAAAGCTTTTTATTATTATATTTCTAACAATATTATTTATTTGTAGATGATAACTACACTTATACATATTTTTATATTTTATTATTAGAAAATATATTTTTTTTTGTTTGTTATATCCGAAAAAAATTTAAAATATGATATATTTGATGACTACAATTGCTTTGAAAAGTAGTCGGATGGTGAAAATCTGGAGATAACCGTCAAAATAGACAACTTTGATTATAAATTTATAAAAACTAGTCAAATGTATACAATGGAGATTAACAATAAAATAAATTGCACTAGGAGCCAAATCTCTGAGCAATCAAAGCGTGCCACGTTGTCTAGATCCACTAACGTTGTAACGGCTATCCTCTGCTTTCATTTTGAATTCCCCCACGTCTTCTTTCCAAATCCTCTCTTTTATTCCATTCTCTTAACCCTACAAATCCTCCTTCCGAATCTCAACCTGTGTTCGATCTCCTGCTAATTCCGAACTCCCTCCTCGATTCGTCTCTTGATTTCTCTCAGTTTAACCATGCGGAGCGAGAGAAACGATTCTGGGCTCTCTTGCCAAGAAAAGGCAGAAGAAACGAGAATGAATCTGTCGCAAGAAGTCGAAGACTATATCAAAGACACGATTGACCACTCGTTAGGTCTTCCGATCTCCCTGGACGCACTCCAGAAGAAGCTCTACACGGCTGAAGAATCCCAACGCCGGCTCCGCGACCAGTATCTGGCTCTTGTTTCCAGGTTAAAGGAGAAAGACCATCTAATCGATCGAGTTAGGGTTAGTATTCGTACTGGGTTTCTATTTCTGTGCTCTGGAATCTTTCGTTGTAGATGCGGTTTTGTCTAAAAATTTGATCTTCTTTTTCCCCCAATTTTTTAGTCAGAAGCGAGTATTAATGCCCAAGCGTTGAAGAAGTTCGTTGATGAGAACCAGAAATTGGCTACTGAGTGTGGGAATTTGTT